TACTACCTACCATAAAAGTTTCGTTTGGTATTTTTCCTTTCTTAAGCTTAGCCATGTCGTTCGAATGGACAGAAACGCTCCTACTCTGAAAATATTCAACGCGGGCCGCGATGCTGGTAACAGAGGAAGAGGAAGGCCTCCTCTGCGTTGGAAAGACCAGGTGGAGAAGGACTTGGCTTCACTTGGCATTTCCAATTGGCGTCAGTTAGCACAGAAGAGAAATGACTGGCGTGCTGTTTTGGACTCGGTCAAAATCGCTTGGGCGGTTACAGCGCCAATTAAGAAGAAGAAGAAGAAGCAAAGATCACACGATTTGTACATTTGTTCATTGGCAGTCACGGGGTGGTGTTGTCTAGAAATTTGTATCAATAATGAGTTCAGCTCAGTAACGACTTTCCAAACAACACCACTGCGTAACGGAGAAAATGACCAAATCTGAGAATCATGTGTTGCCTGCTTTGAGCATAGTATTCTGTTCCTGTTGCACGTGAAAAATCTGTCAAATTGCTTATCAAATTTCTTTCTGTGAAATAAGTATGAAATTCCACAACATTTCCTCAACAAAGTACTGTATTCTATACACGCTGTGATAAAGCTTGCAACATGTTGGCAACATGAAGCTAGCAACACAATTTTCATAGCAATTTAAAATGCGCATCGTCGATGTTTTTGCAAAACCGCCTAAATCTCCGTTGTGGCAAAAATTAGGTTTGGTAACCCTGAACTCCAGGCATCGAGATTTATGCATAAAAACCGTAAAATCGTTGGGTTTCTTCGCGTGTACAGTCATTGCGACTTTGGAATTTTTTGCGCGGTCTATGACTTGTCCAGGTATTGGCTCCGATGCAGCCATTAGGCAGCAATTTCATTTCAATGACCTAAATCCCGAAAACTTATTTCGCTGAATTTTCAATAAAAAGATCGATGGGTATTGTACATACATATGTATTTGTTTATTAAATTTCAATTCTATGCTAAAATTTCCTTTTTGTTACTATTCAAACGCTGTTCTCCTCCAACCATGCGCCAATCCTATTTTTATTATTCGATAGCCACACAATATTGTTCTTTACTGTCTCCAAAGCGCGTACACGTGCTGCTGCACCAGCACCAGCCTCTGGATATTTAGCAAAGAATTGCTCCATTTCCTCCAATTTGGTTTGCTTGTCGAAGCGTGCAGTGATTGTCGGAATCAAGTTGCCTAAAGTGCGTTCGTTGATGCCAAAGCGTTCAACCAATTGCGGCCATTGTTCGCGCACATAATCCCAGACGATGGATTCACCTACAGGATTGGCAGAAATATATCCCAGACATGTAAAGTAGTCTTGACTGCGCACATTTTCCTCGGACCAAGCGAGATTCACATAACTAAGTAAAATGAGGTTGAAACGAGGACAAAATTAAGAGTAATTTATACAAACAAGCTTTTGTTTTTTTTTTTTTTAAATGCATCACTTACTTGCTCAAAATCCATGGGACTTGCACTGCGGCAAGGCCGTACATCAATTTCGATTTTTCGTTAGCATCCGTTTCGGCAATAAAAAGTTGCCACATAGCTTGCCATGCATCCTCATTGCCAATCGCTGACATGCCATAATAGTAGATGGTTTCACGTATATCTGCATGTGGGCGTGTGGTTGGCTCAGCAAGCCATGCTGTGAAGCGTGTTGCAGCCTCTTCTAAACAAGATTCTAAACCAAGCGAACAGGCGGCGCTTAGTATAGTTTGACGCAAGCGGCTGTTTAAGCAGTGAAGCAGTGTATAATTTTAGTTTACAATTTGTAGAAATTTCCAAAAAGTAGCGTCACATTAATTACTCACTTTTCCAAATGATCCGTACCGACCGTCCATGTCACCTGCTCATAAATTGGCTGTATTAACGCAAGCGCATATTTCTTGTAATTCACATACGTTTCCGTGAACATTAACGAGCGCTTGAGTGTAGTCAATTTTGTGGCTGCCACACTCCAGGGCACATAGTCCGCCTCTTTGGACAAATAAGCAGTCATATCGAGTGCTATATCGTAGGAAAGCTGCGTGGCATCGGCCAATGAGAAGGCATCATTTAGAAGACTAGCGCGATCGCCAACGCTAAATGTCTGCAAAAGGATTACGTAATGAGTATTTAAGAGAACGAAAACTCAATTCCTTATTATAATTTTTGATCTTTGAAAAGAACCATCCACGAAGAAGCAATTATAAAAGGATTAGGCGATAAATATGAACTTACCTCGGGGTCTGTAAGTTCATCCGCCAAATTTTGCCACAACTCATCGGGATAATTTACTCGATATAAACCAATTTGATCGTAGTTGAATTTGATCCATTGCACTGGGCTATCGAGGTTAATAAGAACTAAGGACATGAAATGAAAATGTAAATAAAAATTGTACAAAGTCGATTTAAAAAAAAATTTAGTGAAGCGCGCAACCGCAAAAATTTATCAAACTTAAGCAAATTTCAAATGTTAGCATAGTTACATAGTATACTTACATTCCGTTTCGTTATATAAGAACCATGCTCTTTGAATTTCCGCAGAGGAACTAGTTTTATAAGTAATTGGAATGGACCAGGTATAACTGATGGAAAAATAAAAAAGTATTAAATTAATTCCCAAAAGCTACACTGTGTAATTCCTCTACCAATATACATATGTATGTAGATACTAGCGATGCCAATTTTGGGATTTGCTGGTATTAATCCCAGAATCCGGAAAAATTTGAAAATATCGAATAGAAAGTAAGAACTTGTATATGATTTTTGAAGTATGATTTTTGTTAAATGCCTGTTTGACTACAATTAACAAAAAGCTTAAAACTTTACTTTAAAATTATGCTAACGTAAACAAAACAGAAAGTTTTCGGAAATAGTTTAAGTTTAAGTGCAATAATAACAACACCTTTTAACCATACCCCTCTATCAAAATGTATTTCGATCCGCTGAATCCAAATCTGAGGTCCGTTTGACTGGCAAACGCTCAAAATTTTGAGTAAATTACAAAAATTGCGAAAACATGTCAAACATTTCTTTTTTTTAATTATTACTTTCAAAAGTACCTAGTATTTAAATTGTTATTTGTGATGTATGTGATACATGGTTTTTTAAATACAATTTAAAAAAAAATATATTAGTTCAAGATTTGTCTGTATTAATAAATATGTGATTTTTAAATCAGTTTATCGGGGATAATGGCGCGATCCATAAAATTACTGAGTCTGAATTTGCCTGTTTCCTAAACATACGCTTGCAGGTAACTGTGAAAAGCGGTAGTGACAATACTGGAATATTGTACACAATGGTGTTGACAATTGTCACTCTGACAAAGTTTTCTCGACAATAGCGACAAAACTAAATAGCTCTGTCGGTAAGTTTCCGCGAGATTACCACGATTTATTAATTGTGCGCATTTCCTGAATATCCTATCTCAAAGGCTTCTAAACATGGTTAAAGCTATGTCGCTATCTCTTATCGTTTGGTTTTACATGGCCCAATGTACAGAGTAACTCTATTATTCTTCTCGCTGAAAACGTTATGGGACAATCCCAAATTACAATAACGAAGTGACAGTGACAGTGGCAGTTTCGAAACCAGCTGTTTTTTTAGAAAGTGTGGTGTCCAATGAAGCGACTCACAATACAGCAGTGACAGCTAGCGGTGCTGCTCAGTTTAGCCCAAATTCTAAATTCATTGTCACTGCCTTCATCGCAGCAAACTTCGCATCTTGAATTTGACATAAATGAAATGCAGCCAACTTCTGTTTATGTCATTGAAGCTTAAAAGGCAACAACAAAAATGTAAACAAACAAAAGGGAATGTCAAAAAAAGCAGTCACTGATAACGCCGTAGTGTATTTGCTGCGCTAGTGACTGCCAATATTAGCAGTAACAGCTGATTATAAAAACTGTCACTGCCATTGCCACTAGGCTATTGTATTTTGGGCTATAATATTAAAGGTGGTGGAGACTAGCTCTATTATTAAAAAAAAATCAAAGGAGAAAAGAGTAGGGTGCAAAGCGTGGATGAAAAGAAAAAAATTAAAATGTTCAACTCACCATATAAAATCCGTTAACTTTTACTATAAGAGATATACACCTGGAATTGTGTCAACTTATAACCGAGAATAATCAATTTATTGTTTAAAAAATTGTAATGAATCCAGCTCATACGGAATACCTTCATAGCCAAAAGTACCGATACGAGTCGATATCGATATTTTACGTGTATCGATACTTTATTACGATATTACTTTCAAGTAAAGGTATCGATACCTGCATGGTATCGTTTCATCCCTAGTTGTCGTTCGTTTTTTACAAAAGCAGAAGACACTGTTGTTTTGTTTGTATTTTTGTTTATCAAATACCAAGGACAAAAAATTTACTTCTACAAGTATGAAAAACGACTTTTGGCTACATAAACTGAACAAATTACCTATAGTGCGTTGTGTAAAAATTGCATAGCTGTATCGATTAACAATAGCTCATTAGAAGAAAATCAAAAAAAAAATCATCTTTACTATGGGAATGTATCTAAATTCAAAACTTTGAAACCGTTATGCTTGAGTTTTTGGTTTTATGAGATGTGACGTCATTTATGCAAAGCTGCGATATTTATACTGAATACGCAACTCTACTCTCCAACATGAAATAAATCGATACTCACTTGTACGGCGAATCATCGTATATACCAGAATAGTCTTCAGGATTCGAAAAGAAGCGCCTTTGGGTTAGACGATACTGCGTCGTTGTTAGCTGCTCAACGTCCACAACAGGGAAACCCATTTGCACGGTCCATGTATTCAATATCGATTTCACATCCATGCCCAAATTCAATTTTTCAATCTCGTTTACAAAGTCTTCAGTCACAGCATTACTGAACTTGAACTCATTTAAGTAATTTGTGACGGCCGTTTGAAAATTCTCAGCACCAATGAAGTCCTCCAACATGCGTATCAAAGAACCACCTTTGCCATAAGTAATTGTATCAAATATTTCCGTAATCTGAGCGGGACTCTCTACAGTCTGTATAATTGGATGTGAGCCTAAAGTGGCATCAAGTGTGAGCACGGGGTGTAAACGGGTTACAATGAATTGATCAAGCTATGGAACAATGAGAAAGGGACTTTCAACCAACTTTTTTTTTTATATTTATAATACGAGATTTTAATTATATAAGTAGATAATTAGTTATACTATTTTAACTGACCATATTCCACGCTGGAAAGATAGCGTTTACACCTTTGTTTTCAATATATCTAGCAAAGCCTTCATTGAGCCATAAATCATTCCACCAATCCATTGTCACTGCAAGTAATTAAATAGTACTCAGTATTAGTAAATATGTATTGGTATTATAAAGATTATTAAACGCATTTTATGAGCCACATAAATACATACATATATAAGCGATAAGATAACTAACTATTTAGTTAGAAACTGAAACTAGATTTGATAAACTATTTGTATCAGATGCATATCTTTATAGGCTAATGGCTGCTTGTTAATTACTATTTTGTACTTCCGTTAACTAACCCAAATTTCCAAACCACATGTGTGCAAATTCGTGAGCAATTACTAGTGCCACACTTTGTTTGTTCGCCGTTGAACTTTCATTTTCATCATAGAGCAGAGCAGTTTCTCGGTATGTCACAAGGCCCCAATGTTCCATTGCACCAGACACAAAATCCGGTATGGCGGCCATATCTGTACGAGGACAACAAAATATATGAAAACGTTACCATGGACAAATTATTTATATTTCTCGATGTATATATGTAGCACCCTAACTTACCCATTTTCGGCAACGGATACTCGATTTGGAAATACTGTATGTAATATTCTAAAACTCCTTTGCCAACTTCGAGCGAAAAATCGACTTTGTCAAGCTGTTCTGGAGTCGCAAAGGCGCGCAAAGTAAAAGGTTCACCAATGCCATTTGTATTGATCGTAGTCGATTTGTTTGCAAAGTCCGAAACAATAAAACAGGCCAAGTAAGTGCTCATCGGCACGCTCTGATTGAAGAAGACCTCTACGTAGTTACCTTGATTAGACTCGCGCTAGTTGCGAAATAAAATATAGAAAACATTTTTAGTGTTAAAAAAAAGCGAAGTAAAACACTCTCCCTACCGAAATATCCATATTGGAGAGCGCATGGTAATCACCTTCATTGGGATACACTAAAGTGATTAAGAAAGTTGCTTTCATGGCTGGCTCATCGAAACAGGGGAACGCCTGACGCGCATAAGTCGGCTCAAACTTAGAGGTGGCAATAACTCTGTTGAATAGAATGTTGAGAAATAAATCAAAATTTCAATGCTAATTTAGCTGCTCACTTCTTGCTACCATCCTCTTTGGTGTACGACGAACTGTAAAGTCCCACAATTTGCCCATCCATATTACCCTCGAACAATATGCCAACATAGAAAGCCCGCGCTGCTGGTAATTCCTCACTCAACTCCACCACCAAGAACTCACGTACCGTATCGAGGTAGAAGTTCTTCACAAACAAAGTTGGATTATTGGTACCGGTTAGATAGACATTATTTATAGTCAGTTTGCTGGCATGCAGCACGATTTGGTTAATAGCTGTCGTCGTGTTCACGCGGATCAATATTTGGCCAGTAAAGTTACCCGTATCAATTTCAGGATGTAGATAAAGATCATAGCTGATTGGGTAAATGCTGTCGGGAAGCCGGTAACTCACAACTTCTGGTGTTGGTGTTGTAGTCTCCGGCAGCGCAGTGGTTGTTGTGGATGTGGCAACTGTTGGCGCTGTAGTTGTTGTGGATGTGGCAACTGTTGGCGCTGTAGCAGTGGTCGCAATAGTGGTGGTAGTGCCAGCAGTTACAGTGGTCGTACCAGGCGTAGCGGTAGTAGTGTTTTCCAACTGATCCAATATATCGCGTACATCGTCTAGCTCAGCCTGCAGATTCGCCTTCTGAACAGCCAACACAATTGTGGAAACCGTGAAGGCAGTGAGGGATATGCCCAAGCAAATGGCTACTACTTTTGCCGTTATTATCATTTCTCGGGCACTTATGTGATATGTATTGGCGAGGAATATTTAACCGCATTCGCCGTTGTCCACACTAGAACTGTTCAAATAAGATGGACTAATTTTATTTGGCGATTTTACATGCCGCTATTATAAGGATTATCTTATCTAATCGCGAATTTTTGTGCATTGTAAATCGACTTTGATAATGTAGATAATTATGCATTTATGTGATTAAAGGAATGGGAAGCGTGTAACTATATAAACGTATATGTATATTAGTCATTAATTAGCAGGTGATTAATAGTTTTATAAGCAGTTATGTGTATATATGTATATGTATCTTATTACTTTAAACGAGCATATATATATATATATCGTCGTTTAAAGTACAAAACTGCGTATCAACAAAATGCAAACCCGGCAAATGTCGATCCAAATTTTTTTTATATATTTCCAAAATGTATTTTTTAAAACAATCCAAATGGCCAGTATTTGGTACCCACCCCTTGAAAACTTAAAAAAGCCGAGCAAAGCTAGGTTAACTTGGTACTGTATATATAAGTGCATAGAAATATATGCATATAAGTTTTTATATACTTGTTTGTAGAGAATGATTCCACATAGTTCTCAATGAATTCTAAAGTTTTCTAATCTACTAATTTAAAAATTTAAAAATTAAGTCCCAAACGCTTTTATACCATAACTTTGTATTTACTAAAACAGTAACAGGTCGTTACGTATGCTAACGACCTTGCGGTGGTTGTGAGAGGAAAATTTCCGCACACAGGTAAACGAACTTGCAAGAAAGTTCACATACTTGCAAGCTCATTCCAAGCGATCTCTTAAACTAGCAAGTGATAATTGGGCTGGTCTCAACAGTTGCAGCAATATGACAGTTACGTGGCTAAATTGAGATGAAAAGGGGTCAACATATCTCGTGCTGATCAGAGCGGACCTAGCAGCAGCCGTGGGTCTTATAATAGACCATGTTGCCATCGGAAGGCACGCGGAGAGCTGCCAACCTCTCTATAACGACTTATGCAGAAGCCAGAAGAGCCAGAGACATTGTGGCACCTATTATGCGAATGCCCCGCTCTTTTTAAAAGAAAATGATAGCTCATGGATTCTGGATATTTCGAAGACCTAACCTACATATCCAAGATAGGCATATGACAACTTTCCTACGGCCAAAATGTGCTGGCGGGGTCACTGGCGGCCACTTCAACTTAACTAAACCTAACCTATTCTCAATAGACACCGATACGAATATATGCTATAGATTTGAACTCAAACGGCTCACAATTTTTTGAGTATGTAAACGACATATCTACCAGCTGACACCCACGGTCTTTTTACTTATACACGATTTTCTAACTTTCATCACCCGGTACGTAATCATCTTTCCAGAACAAGTCTCTTTTTTTCATCATGACTCAGATACTTTGCTCTCAATATAAATGATAGATTATTGAAGAAATTTGTTTTAATTCGAAATAAAATTTAGTTTTGAACCATTATGCGTAATTTCAAATGTTCTATAAACTTCTCAGTATATCACGAAGATCATGTGGTTTTACATTATTTTTAGTAATTCATTACAACACTAATTTCTTTTCAAATCTTTCCACTTAAACCACTCATCAAATACCAACATACGAGTAATTACTCGAGGATACTCTGAAATAGATTCATAAAAAATTATAGACTATCCCTGAAGGACCTTATTTATGTATGTACATATATTGAAAAGTAAAGTTAGAGTATAAATCAAGGGTTACACAATTTGCACATTTGTACATTTTGGTAATCACAGAGTGATGTTGTTATCGAGAGTGGATTCAGCTTAGTAAAAAAATTCCAAACAAGTGCTCTCTGTAACTGCCAAAATGTACAAATCTGTACAAAGGTATAAATCGTCGAACCCCGCTTTAGACTATATTTTCAAACCGTATGGGTCTGCAAACACCTGCATTTTTTTTTTAATTTTCGCAGAAGTAATTTAAAGTTACTTGTTTCATAAACTAAGTCCATTAACCAAAGTTATTTTTTATTGATAACAAAAAAAAAACTTATATGACTTACCTTTGCGTACTTTTCCCTTAATGTACACACAATAAATCCAGTGTTGTCCCATAAAAAAACTAGTATTTTCCAAATCGTAACACGAGACATATACATATATAAATGCTACATACAGCGACTTTACGGGAAGATATATTTCGATCACGTTTCTCATTTAAAAGAAATAAAATATTTCTTATCGACTATTTTCGCTGATTCGTGTAGCGTATTCTTTCAACTATTAGATTAACATGATTCTAGACCACAGTGCGGCGTGGAGAAGAACAGTCGATAGAGAAGCGGAGCAACTCAGCTTAAGGTGGAAAGAGCTCAAAGCGATTGGCAGCAACAGACCCAGATGGTGCTAAGTCTCGCTTGAGATTAGAGGAAACGAAGAGAGAGTTATGGAATGTACTAGTTTTATAAAAAGATGAACATGGTCAACATAGACACTACTGGCTATGGATCTATCCCAAGGACATTGGTCCAAAAAGGCTTGTCCTTGGACAATACCCAAGTGAAGATCAGAGCTGTGAGAGGCTACCCGCAGGTTGGGGTCATTTCTCCCTTTCTGTGACCACTTGGCGTGGTAGGGCTCTCAATCGCACGATACGGGTTTCGTTACGATGTGGACTTATGCATCCATAGCATGGTGGTAAATATAAAACAATGCAAAAAAACTGCCATACTTCGCCTTAACAAACTGCAAGGATTGTCATATCTATCGGTCACTGGATCAATAAGAAGACGTTCAACTGCGGCTCTAGAGTCGTTTCTGGATGGACTCCTCTCCATAGTTTTACCCATTAAATAACAGCCACGAGTGAGCTGCAACTTCGACTATCCAATGACGGATTCTTCGCAAAGAAGCCTCATGCAGGTATTCTTGGGAAGATACTATGGTTAAAAAAATGCGGCATCTCTGATTCCATGGCTAGAGCGATTTGCTTTGGCAGCAAGTTCCAAGTTATAGTCCCCGATCGCGATGTTTGGGCAAATGGTACCATGCACTTGATACATTGGTACACAGACGGTTCAAGGATGGAGAACATAGCAGATGCACGTTTTTTTGGACCTAGGATCAAACCTGCAGTTTCCATGGGCAAATAGGCCACGGTATTTCAGGTTGAAATATAGTCGCAATTTTGAACTTCTTAAATGAGAGATAAAATTGGCGCAGTGTTTTTTTTTTTGTATAGGCTCAGACCAATAGTGGAGTGCACTGCTAAGTAAGAAGAAAACATGTTAAACTGATCGTTGTGTATTCAGCCTCTAGTCGCGATCAAACAAAGTTAGAAATACAACTTTGAAAAAAAAAGTCGTCTAACATTTACAATAGTAAGCTGACCAACCGTCCTTCTTTGAGAAGGATTGTCCTCCTCCGTGATTTGTGATCCTCAAAAATTGTGTGTGGAGGACAGGGAACTCCTTTCATTTCCTTGTCCTCCTTTTCAAGTTATATAGCATTGATGAAAGTTTTCAAAATTTCGTTCAGAATATTAATACATACATATTTCCTAATCGTACGCAATCATTGTATTTAAAAGGCGTTTACATTGTCCAAATTGATTTAAACTTTTGATTCAACTAACCGCCTGTTAAAGTTGAACTATGTAAACGGCCTTTAGCCTTATTCAAAAATACGTTTGTTTCACACGAGCCCGCGGGATCCCGCGGGTGCCCAAAACAGGACAGAAAGCGTTCCCCACGCTATAAAATTAGGTAACATAGGACGAATACGTTCCACTTTTGGAACGCAAATGTCTTCTTCTTCCGAAACAGCCCGGACTTTTTTTCCTGACACAAGTGTGCAAAAAGTCAAATTGCCATAACAGCTGTTTTGGAAATGGAAAATGCCACAGAAGTTTCAGAAAATGTAGTTGTTTCCTAATTTTATTAGCCATATAAGAAAAATACACTTTAAACCATTGTTTAGAGTTGATTTGTTGATTACTCTCTAACTACCGAAATAGCCCGGAAAGCGTGTGGAACAAAGCTAATATTTAATACGGCTTTCCCACGGCACCCAAATTACGTAGTTCGTACTCTCAATCATAATTCGCGCTTGTATTACCCTTCAAATTACGTAATTCGTCATACAAAATTTTTACAGCGAATTACCACATTTGATGGTAATTCAGTTCCAATTACCATGCGAATTACGAACAAATCGCTTCTATCTCTAATTTTCATTGGAAATTTATCGAAATAAGTTCACAAATCAAAACTGGCAATCTTTCTGAGTACGAAAAGTAAAGTATGTGGCGGACTTATAATTATGCAATGCACTATACTATTAACTTGTTTGACTTGTCTTTAGAGAAATTTTGAAGTGTTAATTAATTCTTTCTTTATGTGTAAAATTTTTATAAAAAAATGTTTTGTTTTTAATGCGGAGAACGTGTCCTCTTGAAATGTTAAAAATTCTGGTCACCTTAACAATAGACACCCACTCACTCGCACTTTGATACTTACTTATTTGAATCATTTTAAACCCATTCAATTGAAATCACTCCACGCCCCTTGATTGCTTTTAATGCCCATTTCATTAATAACAAAATTTAAAAACACACAAATTTTAGTCACTTCATATCAATTAATCCAAGCCGCCGGTTTTCCCTCCACACGATAGCCGTTATATGCCGCTGACGAGGAAGCCGCCGCCGCCAACTCCGATCGCCGACTAGGTTCACCAGCCCAATACGACGGCGCCACTTCGTATGATTGCACCGCTTTATTGCTATTCCTAATCGCCGATAGAATGAGTAGGAATATAGCTAGTTTACCAATCAGTATCGATTTCACCAGCAACAATTTCAACTTGGTAACCAGAAATGGCACAATGGCAGATTGTATAAGGAATGGCAGCACGAAAAGTGGCAACACCTTAGTGACCATATCATATTTCTTGCCGCGACCTAATCAAAAGAGCAAACAAACGATGGCATATTTCAATATTTGTATAA